CAATTATGTATGTTTTATAAGTTTGCTTAATAACAAAAAATGAGTTAAGGAAGTTGTGGTTTGGGATTTAGGTGCAGAAGAGGTTAGGAGTTAAGGAAGTTGTGGTTTGGGGTTTCGAGTTCAGAGTTTTGCAAACCCTTTCCTCGTAAAGCCCTAGTAAGAGAACCACGGGCATAGCTATTTCCTCGTAAGGTCCTAGTAACATAATTACTAGGACTTTACGAGGAAAAAAAACGCGGGCATAGCTACTTCCTCATAAAGATGTTTCCTCGTAAAGTCCTAGTAAAGGTGTTACTAGGACCTTACGAGGAAATAAAAACACGGGCATAGCTGTTTCCTCATAAAGCCCTAGTAACATCACTAGGGCCTTACGAGGAAACAAAACTCCTTATATATACACGAGCAATCCGATTTCTCACTCATAGTAACCTCCTCTCCAAATTCTCTTAAGGTACTCTCTATTTCCTAGTTAAGTGATTAGATTAGGGAATTTAGATTAGGTGGTTAGATTAGGGAATTTAGATTAGGTGGTTAGTTTAGAAAATTTAGATTAGGTGGTTAGTTTAGGGAATTTAGATTAGGTTGGTTTAACTGTTTTTAAAAATTATATGAGAATTAATGTTTTTTGTTTTTTTTTTTAAAATTTAGATGGTTAGAAAGAGCAAAGTTGCTGCTGCTCAGGCCAGGAGGCTTCTTGATCAGGGGATTCACTATGGAGATCTATTCGGGCCCGGTTCATCTTCGTCAGCTCCCGGTGGTTCATCTTCGGGAGTTCCCGAGACTCAGGGAGGTTCTACAGCATCCCGGTCTCAGCAGCCACCTCCTCCTTCTCCTCCTACTCCTCCACCGGTCGGGATTCATCCTGATTTGCAGGTGCCGCCGAACGCACCATTTGCGGTGTACACGGTGGAGGATATTTTGGCCCTTCCAGGCAGAGAAGGGCTGCCAGAGTTAGATCCTATCCGACGGGACGGCCAAAACGTATAATGGTATGTTTTAATTTTTAAAAAGTTTTATTAATTTATTTCTTAATTAACAAAATATTTACAAATTAATTAATCTAATTAATGATTTATTTTCTGTCTTTCGAGGTTTGGTCTTGACAATTGTGTCGGATCTAGCGTCACGGACTGTATTAAGGGATACTTTCCCGATGCAGCTCCAAACTGGAAGATGACGGCGAGCCACACAAAAAGACGTGGTTCAAATCATTCGGTGTAAGTTTAGTAAATCAACTTAATTTATTTTTAATCATTTAAAATTATGAATATTATTGAACTAATCCGTCTCTTATTTTTTCTGGTTACATCAAAAATATCGTTGGTCTATTGGGATTCACCAGCGGGTGAAGTCAGAGTTTGAGGCCAAGGCAAAAGCACGATTGTGCGACATGGTCTACAACTGGAAGGGCGACTTTCGGGTATAGATTTATAAATTATAATATATGTATAGTTTTAAAATATATATTATTGACTTTAATTCTAATTATTTTAAATCAGGTGGACGGTTACGAGCGCGAGAAACCCGTTGCCTCACAACCACGGTGTGGGATGGCCTCATCATCTATTGGGCGTTGCCGGACTCGATCAGAACCTCCCAGACAAACTCCGGGAACTGCATGACCAAGGACGAGTATGGCAACACGAAGATGCTTCACACCACGGGCCGAAAACCTCACGGGGGAGTTCGTCTAGACATGGTAAGATGATTTTTTATAACTATTTAATTTTTACTTTATTTGAATATTCTAAATTAATATTTAATTTAAAAAAAAAATTAGGCTAAAGAGACAGGAGTTCTTCCATCTCTGAAAGACCTTTACAAGCGGACCCACCGGAAAAAGGGTGGGCAGTTTGTAGATCATGCTTCCGAGCGGATCTACAACGAGGTTGCTGCTCGAGTTGACGAACGCCATACCCAGCTGACTCAGCAGACTGGGGCTCCAGTAGTATTATCCACTCTTGAAGTGGATAAGATTTACGAGGAGGTAAATAATTTGTTTCAATATTTAATTTTTATTATTTATTTAAATTTTTCCTTACATTATTAATATTATTATTTATAGGTCGTCCCTAGGAAAAAGGGCTGTATTGTCGGGATTGGCTCGGTTAACGATGTCCCCGCAGTGACATCGGCTTATGTTCACCAACAGGACGATGCCAATGCTCAGCTGCGGACGGAGTTGCAGGCGACACAGTCTCATGTGAGTACGGTCACCGAGATCGTCAACATTATGGCGGTTGGAAACCCGCAAGTGGCGGAGATGTTGCGTCAGAGACGGGAAAGCGGAGCCCTTCCACCTCAACAGCCTCCACCATCTCAGTCACAGCCGGCATCCAACATTGGAGACGACGACTTCGTGCAACAATTTCTTGAGCAGCATCCCTTTTAGTTTTTTTTAGTTTTTAATTGTATATTATGAATTTTAAAACTTATTAATTGTATATTATTTAGTTATTTATAAATATTTTGTTATTTATTTTTTTATTTATAATTTGTTTTTTTTTATTTTTTAATATATATAATTTTTAATTTTTAAATATTTTTTTAAAATAGGAAAAAATTATTTAGAAGCAAAATCCTCGTAAATGTTTCGAAGTAAAGTCCTCGTAAATTTTCCTAGCAAGTTCCTCGTAAAGATCCTACTACGAGATTACGAGGAAATAATTTACTATGACATTACGAGGAAAACCTACGAGGACCTTACGAGGAAAACTTATCCACGCGTTTACGAGGAAATGTTTCCTCGTAAATTAGCTAGGACATTACGAGGAAAATATGCTTTACGATGAACGTCTTTCGACGAAACGCGTTTCCTCGTTATTTCCTAGTAAATGACCATTCACACCTCTTGCTAAAAAAAGCAAAACTTTCCAGCTCCCCAAGAGTTTGTAAGATCACATCAATAACATTTTTTTTCCTCAGATCACGTTTTTTATGTAATAACATGTTAGCATCAAACTTGGTAAGAATTTTTTTAATTATGTCTGAGAAGCTCTCTCAAAATGACACATCAACACTCAAAATTTTAAATCATTGTGAGGCCACCACGTCACAATACCAATGTGAAAGTATTTATTGCAAAATGATTCTCTTTTAATATATAAGAAATATAAAAAACTAAGAATGCATAAGGTGATAACACGTCATTATTGCACTCTCAATTAATGTATAGGAGATTTTCTTGAAACACTTTCTCAAGTAATATATAGGAGATTAGGCCTATATATTAATTTTTAACTATCTTAAATTTAGGCCAATAAATATATTTTATGTTACTTAAGATTAGTAATTACAAGTTGAATAAATATTATTAAGTGTTTTGTTTTAAAATGATCTAAGGCAACGTTTCCTTTTTTTTTTATCAAGTAAGCATTGCTCTGCATACACATACTATTTATATGTCATATAACCGACCAGTTCCAGGTTTTAATTTGAATAGAAACCATTTGATTTTAGGGAAAATTGGAAAATTGGGACACTTTAAACTTTTATTTGTCCATATAGGACTTCTCATACTTTTGGTAATTCTAGACATGTTTTACTCTTTATTAATGAAAAAAATAGTAAACTAATTCTGAAAAATAGAAAAAAAATATGAGAAGGCTAGAAAACATAAGTAGGACAACATATATGTTTAAGTTTTTATTTTTTTAAAAGTGGAATCATATTTTATTTTATCTTCTAGCTACCAGATAGACTACACATTCTGGTTATCTACTTAGTTTAGAAATTATATAATGGGTGTTCTTGCTAGATAGACCGAGGTATGAAACGTAATATAACATTTCGTGTCTATTCTAACCAAGGTAGTATTGGTAACGTTATAATCAACGCATATGTCTTTGGTGTAGGTGAAGTTAGAAACCGATTTATAACCATAACTTATTGACATACCTCATCAAGATTTTGTGCAATAACCAATTCTGCATGTCACCTTATGTGACGCTTGAGAAATAATATGTTTCCCACCTTTTCTATTGTGTTCTGCCTTAGATAGTATACATATTCTAAGTAATCCGCAAAATATGGAAACTTCCATATTCGGTTGAGATGTTTCCTTAATATCTTAGAGAATATTTTGTCCACGATTTTCTCTATTCCTCACGATCTTTTTCTCTGTTTTCTCTGTGTGTTCTACATTCTTCATCAAAAAGCTTCATATTTTCTTCTTATCAATACATGGGAGAGAGCGGAGAATGTAAAATAAAATTAGGTTATCGATTTGGGATTTCCCCTTTTGCTTTGTCCCAATTTTCCCTTTTTTGTTTTGTTTTTTTTTTTTTTTTGCTTTTTTTATTTATAATTTAAATTTATAAGTCCCCTTAATTGATTAATTTTAAGGGTATTATGGTATTAACAGATTTGAAAATCCTATTTTCCAAAAAAATCTTTTAAAAGTCTTATAGGGACAAATCCAAGTTGAGAGTGTCCTAATTTTCCAATTTTCCCTTGATTTTATATAGCTGAATCCAAACCGAAACTTTTTTCAGTTTGGTCAGTTTTTCTTTTATCCAATTATATGTCATGTGAAAAACTAGGAAGTTTTTTTCTATTTTAAATTAACGCCGGATCTATTAAAGACACATACCTAACCTCGGGTGGGAGGTGTAGCTTACGGATAGACCTCCAAAATATTCAAATAGACCGAAAACAATAACCCATATCCTCATAAGATGACCAAGAAAAATGTTACTTAGTTTTGCAGGACAAGTAGATTGAACCTGAAATGTGGTGACACCCCAAACCCTTATCTTTACCACTTGACCACCTGAAATGTGGTGACACCCCAACCCTTCCCTTTACCATTTGACCACAAGCTCTCGGTCAAAAAAAATTAGGAAGTTTATTAACATATATGACCATTACAAATTGTATTCACATATTGGACCATTACAACTATATTCAAATAAAGAAAAAAACAAATTGTATTCACATATTGAACCGTTTACAAATTTTATTCACATTTGACTCTTCAAAAACAAGTTATTGAATGTTAACTAATAGTTAAAGCCTTCAATGGAGGAATCAATATCAGACATGGTCAAAGAAGCCGTGGGAGATAACGATGCAAGCGTAGAAATAGACGAAGACGACGAGAGCGAGTGGAGACTGGAGGAAGATGAAGACGAGGTGAGCTGCAGAGCCATACTATTGCCTTCACTCCAAGACCGTGTGATAGGGAACCAAACAACCTCAGATCGTTTGTGGCGACAAGTTCTTTTATGAAGCGCACAGCTGCAGTTTTTGTGGTATGGACGTCGTTCGATGGAAGCGTCGCAGCTAGAGATGCATCCTTCGAAGATGTTACGGAACATCCCATCCACTGATCCAGCAGCCATCATTCACCGTGAAAGAGAATCACCGTGAAGGCGTTGTCGTTTACGAAGAAAGTTTTTATTAGTGTCAAAGATGAATGACTTCTGAATTTGGGGTTATTAATGTTTTTATAGTCAAGCAGAAATAGTGGTTGAAGAAGCTGGCGATCGCTCGTGAGAAGCGTGTGCTTATGTGTGTTATTGCTCTCTTTTCGGGATCTTTAACCACACCACCTATTAGTATATCTGCGTCTAATTTCCGTCTCTTTCTTTTAATCAAAAGATTGTTGATTTTTTTTTTTAAATGGTGAAAACTGATGATCTAAAAATAACTGCATATCTGGTAATTTTGAGAAAAAAGAACAGATCGGATAGTTTGATATAGTTTAACAAAAGTTCATATGTTATGTAGACAAATGCGAATTTTAAATTAATAAGCGAAGCAATATGATTGACGAACAAATATTTTGAAATATATGATGAATGTTTGATTTATAAAATATAATAAGTAATGTGCAATGTATATTAGATTCAAAGAATTTAAAACAAATATGTATCAAAATGGAACAAATATGTATCAAAACTAAGATTATTACATTGGATCACCTTGAACTGGGGATCTCTGACACAATGGTGAGGATCATTTGTGGTTAATATTACATATTGTAGTTTCAGAACTAGGGGATCTTAAGTTTCGGCTCCAACCCTCCTCGTATAAAAATAAAATCTATAATTAACAATCATAGTATAGTCATAAATTAAAAATGCATTGTAGAGATACCATGTTAATATATATATATTTCATGATATGACAGTTTTGTGAAAAAAAAACAATTTTGTATATAGTATATAAGTGTTAAATTACCAAAATAAATATAATACAACAGAAATGCACTGTTAGTATTTTTATTTATGCCACGTTTGTTTCCTGACACTGCTTGCTACACTATCCGTCCGTATATTATGTGTTCGTGGTACATGAATGATCTATGAGTTGAAAAAAATTCCTCAAAGTTTTGATGTCTTCTAGATAACTTGCAAAATCTAACCATTCTTCTAGTTCTGAAACCATCTTTACCAGTTGAAAACAATCTGTTGCAAACGTAACCTGAAACTAACGAAGGTTCCTCATACACTCCATTACCCATATTAACGCTTCAACCTCCGAATGAAAGGTGAAAGACTAGGTCTTACATTTCTTCCTCCATCAGTCCAGTAAAACCCTAAAGAGTTTTGTATCACCCTTGTCCGAAAAAATAATTCTTATCTCTCCATGACCTATCATTACTTTTACTATTTAGTTACACTAAAATGCCACTTAAAAACTCTTAATTTTAAGTAAGAGAAAAGGGAAAATACCGTAGAATAAAATTACATTTTGAAAACTACACCTTTATTTTTACTTTTTGCAAATTACACTTTCTCTTTTATTAATTTACTAAATTATCCTACAAAATGATTTACATTTACTTTATTGCTTGTTTTGTTTTTTTTTTAAGTTGTCCAGTCCGTTGATTTTAAAACATTTCGTGGAAACTTTGTTACATTAAACATTGTTCTTCTTTTTTCATGAGAGATTTCAAATTTTGTTATTGGAATTTTTATTTATGTTAGTACTGTTTTCACTTTTCTCAGTAAAGCATGCTACACATAACTATTAACAACATGCAAAACAAAAGATGATTTCATTTGATCATATATTCTAAAACTATGAAAATATTATGCCATAGATATATCTATGATCTGGTCGAATAAGATGCAATCAACATTACTGGTTTATAATTTTAGATAAGAATGTTTTATATTAAATTGTAAGGAAATAAACTAAAATCAATGAAATACTAAATTTAGACACTTCATCAGTCGAGTGAAGTTTACTTTCATCGAATTAAGTCATTATTATGTTTCAGTTTCTCCCAGATCTTCAATGATAGTGTAATTCAATTCTTGTAATTGTTTAAATGGTTGTTCATCATTATATGTGAGTCTTATAAATAAGTTTCTGGTGACGCCAAAAAAAAAAGTTATGGCGAAGGTAAAGCAAAATCCAATTCGATGCTTGTGAATCTCAAAGTTTGATTTTCTCTTTTTATATTTCAATTGTTTGAAAGATTATTTTTCTTACGTGAGAAATATGCTTATCAACAAAATTAAATACACCAGAATATCATATATTTTTCCCATTTTTATTTGGGATATAGTTGTCTCTTCACAACAATTAAGAGATATTTTTTTTTTCAAAAATGAAACATAAGGTATTTTTAAAATATTAAAAGGTAAATAGGATATTTTAAAAATCTCCCTTTAACTAATCATTGTATTTTACAATTATTACATCATTTCCTCAAATAATTATAATTAATAAAGATTGCAGCAAAAATAAAATAAAATCCCCATTTTCCCTATTTTTTAGATTTCAACTCAATTACAATAAACATAATATTCTAAAATTAAATAAAAAAATTGTAGCTAAAAGCCTGCATTTTATTATTTTATGTCTATTTTGTATAAATAAAAGCTTAACGTAAATTTAATATGATAAATATTGAATAGTATAAAATATATAACACCAGATTTTAACTAGTGAATAAAACAATTTTTTTATACATTATCATAAAAGTTTGCTTTATAAAAAATAAGATATATTTGTGCAGATGCACAAATCATATTCTAAAAATGTAAGTGATACAATTACGAATTATAAGACAGTGTGTAGTACACAATATAAATTATAAAATTATTTTTTTTTAGAAATTTCATATTTAAAAATTATTGATTATGAATAAGTTTTTAAAATATAGAGTATGACTTACTCAAAATAAGTATTTATTTAAAAAACAAAAACCAATGCATGTGCAAGGATCAAACTCTAGCCATATTATATATTAACTGAGAAGTTACTTTATTGATTTTTCATGATGTTTCATTCATATGAGAACTCTCCAATTAATTATTTTAATTTGATTAGTTGATAGTTTTTTTTTGATTTATTTAATTCAATTTAAAAAACTTAATTAAGAACTTACTTAAATCAATAACCAAAAGAATCATACCTATCAATAATATTTATCAAAAATATATTTTTAAGGAAATTGTGTCATCATTGCTCAATTTATGTCATAAATAATATTGTGCATCGAATAAAATACTTGGTTTAAGAAAACAAAGTACATTTAAAAAATTTCTCTTACATATTTTATAGATACTAATAAAAAAAAAAATTAGTTGTTAGTAATTCGATTACTTATGTATTAAATAGATAATAATATACAAAATTGTTTAAAAATAAAAACACAAATAATTTGAGATAACAAACATATTAAAAATTTTCCATTAAAAAATCTATAAATTCAGTATTCATTGTAAAATTGGATAAATTATTTCACTTTTTAAATTAAACTATTTAGAAAAGTGATTTAAGAATATTATGTATGTTATATAGATAATTTAAAATAAATTACAGTTAGTAATTCATATTTTTCCTTAGTTATGTGTTATATAGATAATGATATAGAAAATATTTATATATAATTTAATTTTAAACTATGTGTTAAACTAATCTTAGATATCACAAAAATTGAAGTTACATTTTCATCAAAACCTTCGTAAAAATTTATCTCGGTTATAAAAATAGATAAATTATTTTCTACATATTTTGAATAATATGTTGACAAAACGTTTAAAAAAATATTTCATATTATATAGGTAACTAAAAATATGATAATATTAGTAGCTAATAATTTTGTCATTTGTGTATCTTATAGATTAATGATATAAAAATTGAGTAATCATTTACATTGTACTTACAAAGCATATCAGTTTCATATATCTTATTATATAAAGAAGGATTTCTCTCTTTCTTAGGATGCCATTTTACTAATTCATTCAACAGGAGGTTGACATGTGTCATAAACTCACATCAAGAGGTTAATGTAATCTGTGGGCTTAAAATCTTTCGGTTGGGCTGAAAGATTACTGAATATTGGCCCGTGAGTTGCCTTCACTTTCTGAATTGTATCAGCCAATTAGGGTTCATCGTATCTTGCAAATCTCCTTAGGTCTTGCATCTATGGAGTTTATGAGTTTCATAGAGAGAGATACTTCAGTGTGATCAGTGCGTTTGTATCTGTTGGCGTCCTTTCGTTTTTGATTATTCATCCCACAATCGTTACAAGTTCATTGATTCAACTTTATTAACCAGTTATTTACTCTTGCGACCCACCACAACGACGATTATGCATTCAATGTCTCTTTATCACTCTTCCAAGCAGTGGATCTCCATCCATAAAAAGGTAAACCCTTATACAATGAGAATCATCCTCACAGTTCCAAAAACATTTGATATTTCTTTCTTGGTGTAATGGCTAAGCAGTATGTTTAACTTGCTCACTTCAAGGCCGGCCGGTGTTCTACCACTGCCGAGGTGAGGCTGCTCATATTCTGGGAAGTCATAACATTAAACGCGGTTAGGAATGACATGATCTTCCGGTTTTCCATTGTTGAAACTGATGAACATATTTTTGTTAATTATTTATGGCGTTTAAAACTCATAAATCTATACAGCTCTTTTTCCAAACGATTTTGAATGATAAATCTTGATGGATTCTGTTTTACGAATAGGTACCTGACGGTTTCAATGCTATTACATCCACGTTATGTTTGTTACTAGGTGATTTTCCCGTGCTCATGCACGGGTATAAATATTTATAAAAGTAAAATTTTATAATAATTACTTGATATTTAGTTTTAGTTTTGTATCAATTTTATTAATAAATATTATATTATTCTAATTATACATATGACTTTGGATATATTATTGTCGGTTTAATTATTTTTGGATCAATAGTCGGTTTGGTTATCAATTTGGTATATTAGATAATATTTATTTTCGAATTCAGCTATAATATTTTTTATTGTAAATATAATAAAACTTTGATTAATTTTCTTATTTTCATTTCGGTTGGTTGTTGTTTTAGATATGTAAATATATTCTTAGATATGTAAATATATTATAGTTAAATTAG